CTCTCTCTCTCTCTCTCTCTCTCCCTCTCTCTCTCTCTCACACACACACACACACACACACACACACACGTACGTACGTTTTGATCTGTGTGTGTGTGTGTGTGTGTGTGTGTGTGTGTGTGTGTGTGTGTGTGTGTGTGTGTTGTCATATATTCGCTATACACTCAAAAAAAGCATGACTGTACCTGTGCACGCACACACACATCGGTGTGTTCATATGGCAACAAAGCAGCGAAGGGCGAGGAGCAGGCGGGGCGAAAGGCGTACAAGCTGGGCAGAAAAAAGGGAGAGAGAGGAGGAGAAGAATAGACAAAGGGTCTCGGTCCACCACTCACCGCATGGACCAAAGAACAAAAATTATGGCGGTGCATCTTTCCATGTTCTAGCTGAAGATTCACTCTCATTTTGCAAATTCGGTGAGTGGCGGAGCGAGCCCCAAAGGGAGTGCAGGACGAAGGAGAAGGCAGGAGGAGAGACAGGAGCGGAAGCAGGGAGCAGAAGAGAGAGAAGAGCAAACAGTAAATAGTCCTTAGGAATTGGAACGATACAGAGAGTATACATCAGCATGGCCCCTTTGCAAGGATGACAGGCATCAATCGAGAAATGGTCCAAATTTTCCAAAAAAAAAAAAAAAAAGGGAATGTCTATAGCTAGTAATAGGACTATATACACGAGAATGACGGCTGACTTACCTTTTGACCACGTTCAGGTTGGCGTCTGTCCCTGGTGGTGATCCTGCAGGTGGCCGCGTGCCCAAGCGTAAGCGCAAGCGTGAGGGTGTGGAAATACCACACGCCTTCCTCCCACGCCTGCCGCGCTTCTGCACCCCAACGCACCTCCCGCCTTTCTTTGTTGGGATCCCTACCTACCGTAGTGTCTACGGTCCCTCACTCGTTCATGTCACCACGCCCAAAGCAGAGCAAATTGGTGACATGAACGAGTGAGAGAATGACCCCGTTAGATTGCCCATGGTAGGTCTTCCTATTTCGCTATTGGCCCAGCTATAGGCCGCGGGGGTCAGCCAAGGGAAGGCCCGGTCGCTGCGTGAAGGCGGGGCCTCGGTTCACTCGGCACGACACCAAAGAATGAAAGAAGAAAGAAAGAAGGGAAAATTTGTCTGGCGCCCCTGTAATTTGCGTTATTTCGTGTTGCGCCCCTGGTCCAAAAAATATTTTAGGCAGGCCCTTGTGGGTAGTGACCGCAACTTTCCAGGACGCCCTCCTTGGACTGACGGTTGGGTCCTATGCCATATGCCGCCCCCATGACGGGCAGCCTTCTTTCTGCAATGCCCCAGCCGTGAGGCACCACAAATTTGCATTTCCATCGGGCCCTGTGCCATATCTTCCGCTACCTGCAAGTGTGTGTGTGTGTGTGAGTGAGAGAGAGAGAGAAAGGGTGAGTTGGTGTACGGTCATGATGGCCGTGTCTAAAATGACAGTCATTATAGTTGCATTTTGGGCAACTGTCATTGCACACACGGCCAACTGTCATTTTAGACATGGCCATCATGACCGTATGCTTCGGAACTTTGATAAACCAACCGTGCGTGCGCGCGCGCGCGCGCGCGCGCGCGAGAGAGAGAGAGAGAGAGAGAGAGAGAGAGAGAGAGAGAGAGAGAGAGAGAGAGAGGGCTGAAACGTTGTACATCGGCAGTCCACCAACCAGCCATAGGCGCGCAGCGCTATCACAACACCCCTCTCCTCCTTCATCATCTTCTTCCATAGATCATAACCTTCGGATGAGACGAGATACCCCTCTCCTCCTTCATCATCTTCTTCTATAGATCGTAACCTTCAGATGAGACGAGATACTGACTTGCCAGAGCCAACGCCCGCCCCCTGATTTTCGTCCCAGACTTCTTCTTTCCCGCCTTTGCATTCATCGAGGTTGTCGTTGCCCTCGTCGTTGACTCAGACTGTCCACCACTAACATCCTTTCGTTTGTCGGAAGAGGGAGCCGCCCCTGCATCTGGGAAACCAGTAGAAGATGTGGCAGTTGTGGACGACTTGGCAGCAGACGCCCTCTTGGCAGCAGATGCCGTGACAGCAGCTGATGAGGCAGCAGACAATGACATAATAGCAAATGGCTTGGTAGCAAATGGATTGGCAGCAGATGACGACGTGGCATAAGACGACGTGGCAGCAGATGACGTAGCAGCAAATGGCGTAGTAGCAAATGGCTTGGTAGCAAATGGACTGCCAACAGATGACGTAGCAGACTCGGAAGATGACATGGCAGCAGATGACATAGCAGCAAATGGCTTGGCAGCAAATGGTACCGGTAGGGGCATCTCGAAAATTTTCCAGCTGGCTTTTAACGGCCATCCGGTAGGGGCATCCCGCAAATTAGGGACCGGTACCGGTAGGGGCGTAACGAACAGATTTGAGGCCCAAACGACACGGGGGTCTTATGGAAAATTTGAACCCTCCTCAGAGGGGCGGGGCAGGGTAAATTCGCCTCCAAGGGGCGCGACGCAAAATAATGCAAATTACAGGGGCGCCAGACTTGTTATTATCAAATTAAAAAAATACCGAGTATTTTTTTGTTTTTTTTAATGAAAATAGCACAGTTTCATTAATTTGGCAAAAGGAGGCCCTCCACATCTCAGGCCCGGCCCCTTTTTCCGGGTTGAGATGTGGAGGGATTCCCGGGGCTAGGTCCCACTACCACGAATTAAGAGATACTGACCGTAGATAGCAGAGATCAACGGCCGAAATCTCCTACTTTTTTTTTTTTTTTTTTTTTTTTTCAAACCGGCCTCCCAGCGTAGGGAATAGGTGTCGGAGTGAGAAATCCAGGGCCGAGGTCCCACTAGCAAAAAGGATAGGATCGAGCTCCTGAATCTGGATGTGTTTTACCCAGAGATGCAGAAAAGCAGTTTAATCTCGATTTCCTGCACATCTCCATAACCTCGTCCAGATTCAGGCATTCGATCCGATCCTCTTTGCTAGCGGGACCATGCCCCAGAGACAGAAATGGCCAAATCCAGACCGGTGTCCTGTTTGGTATCATTCTTGTCCTTGTAGGCTCTGGAAACGGGAAACGAAGGCCGAAGCAAAAAGCCACACCAACGGAAAAAAAAAAGAAAAAAAAGAGAGAAGGCATACCATGGGCAGTCTAGGGGGTCATTCTTTGTGCGACCGAAGTGCTCACCTGTGGGCGATGACATCAAAGAGCGGGGAACCGTAGAAACTACGGTAGGTAGGGATCCCAAGAAAGGCGGAAGGTGTGTCGGGCTGGCTGCAGAAGCGACGCAGGCGTGGTGTGCTGCCACCTGCAGGATCATGACCAGAGACAGACGCCAACCTCAACCTGGTCAGAAGGTAAGTCAGCGGTCATTCTTTCTCGTGTATATAGTCCTATTTCTAGCTATTGGACATTTTCTCAGTTTTTTTTTTTTTTTTTTAAATAATTTGCACCATTTGTCGATTGATGCGTGTCATCCTCGGGTAGGGGGCATGCTGATCGATTCTCTGTATCGTTCCAAATTGTAACGGATGTCCCTAAGGACTATTTTCTGTTTGCTCTCTCCTGCTCCCTGCCGTCTTCCCTCCTCACCTCGTCCTCTTTTTCCGCTCTTGTCTCTCCTCCTGCCTTCTCCTTCGTCCTGCTCTCCCTTTGGGGCTCGCTCCACCACTCACCGAATTTGCAAAATGAGAGTGAATCTTCAGCTAGAAAATGGAAAGATGCACCGCCATATTTTTTGTCTTTGTGCATGCGGAGAGTGGTGGAGCGAGGCCCTTTGTCTATTCTCCTCCTCCTCCCCTTCTCTCTCTCCCGTCCCGCCTGCTCCTCGCCCTTCGCTGCTTTGTTGTCATATGAACACACACACACACACACACACACACACACACA